GTTTAACTTATAGCGTGACCGTGCAAATTAAGTGAATTTCAAAGTTGTATTGAGAAAGAATAAACTACTTTTATTTAAGAAAGGACATGTGTCGCTAAAGTTTCATCGGAAAGAAATTATACGGGAAATTAACTAACGACCAGAGACGTAACAATACTTTAGCGTATAGGGTAAGGATGATTTATTTCACTACATTTGGGAACTTTCATACCCTGTGCAACAGAAACTAGGAACTTTGAAGTGTATTATTATGCAAATAGTATTTAATATATGCATTACAAACAATTTAAACGATTAATTACAAAGAATGTTTGAAATCTCCACACAAAAAACAACTCTCTGGAAGAAGTTGTTAAAAAATAATTGACGCATCCAAAAACCGACTAATTTTATATATTTGACCCTTTTTTGTCAGAACTAATACCAATAGTAGATTCTTAAGCTCCAAACTACTACCATCAATTTAGCAAGTTCCAGACAATAAACTTTCCCTTTGTCCCCACATCACCCCGACCTTTACGTCTTGTTTAAAACTGATGTTACATCTCTGTTCGTTAATTAATTTTCCGTAAATTCGTTCAGACGAAACTTTAGCGACATAAGTCCTTTCTTAAATAAAACTGGTTTATTCTTTCCGAATACAACTTTACGATACACTTAATTTCAACAGTCGCTCTATAACAATGCTATAACTCACGTCTCACGTGGCCAACAATATTTTATCCGCATACATTCAATTACTCATTACCTTGTTCCGTCACGTTGTGACCGTCTTACATATATACCAGACTACCCCCAATCTAGTAGTCTCCCGATAATTCATGAAGGTTCGAGAAGGACGTGGCGTGATACTAGTCACGTGACCTCGCTGACGCAACACTGAAAATGGAATTCTTTAATTAACCAGAAATTTTCCTTCCCGACATTTGGTGAGTTTATTAGCTTCACTAGTTCTTTCGCCCCCCCCCCCCCCACGTGGCAGAGCGGTATGTTTTCGACTTGCAGAGCACAGATAACCCATTTGTGTAGCATCCTTTACTGCGCATGTCACAATTTCTTCAGTAAGTTACATTCAAAATTTAATTAAACTACTTTTTGTCAATGTTATGTCAATTAGCATAACATGAAATCTTAGCTAATAATCCATATTTTAACAGTTTATAAGATTTAAGTTCTTCATTTTATGAGACAATATTTTGAAAAAATTATGTATTTCCCCTAGTGTGAGAAATGTGACTCTTTTCTCTAGGCATCCTCTCTTCTTTAATTTATTTATCACCCCGCCAAGAAATAATTTAACCTCAATTTCCCGTAGGAACAAAGCTTGTACTGAAAGAGAAATTAACGTGCTGCGGAAGTAATAATGACAGTATAGAAATTTCTTGACTACAAAATTTTAAATTTACTGTTACAATATTAAGTATTCACTGAATCATCCAGTGTATCCGAATATTATGCCATCGAATTCGAATAGTTTAGTTTTCCCTACCAAAGTTGTAGTTTAATGCATTCGAATACGAATGCACTATGTCTGACCCGATGTCGACTCTTTGGCTACTTTCATCGATTAGTGGAATATTACCGTTAATATTATAACACACACACATAGCCCCGAAATGTACCCTCAGATTCACAGTCAAACACGCTAATCATTAGGCCAAGTTCACCCATGAGTTATGGGAGGGGGGGGGGGCTACGTGTAAATGAAATTATGTCGATGTGAAACCACGACGTCATCTACGACGAGACCACTTAACAAAACTTGAAAATAATTACTTTCTGTTAAAGATTTTTTTAAATATTATTTAAAACACAAGATAAGTTACATACATGTAGCATTATTTGTGTTATCATAACGTCATGATTTTCATCTTGATTTATAGTTTACGGAAGATTCAAGAAGCTGGTTTGATCTTCAAGTGGAAAGAAGATTTACTGGTTAAATTACGAGTACAAGCTGCTAAATCAGGAGATGTGGAGTCAGGCGGCCCGAGATCTTTAGGCCTAGAAGATCTTCAAGGAGCGTTCTACCTATTGTTTTTAGGGCTCGTGTTCAGTATTCTAGTGTTAGCAGGCGAAAACTATTGCATCAGGAAACATAAAATCATTATCAAGCAATCGTAAAACGTAAATTATGTTTCAGTTTGATTTCCTAAATTGCCCTGCTGTTTTGGGTATGTTGCATCATTAAGAAAAGCTTCAAGTATGAACTCGTTAACAAATAGTTGTAGAACATAGAGCCTGTTTCACTGTGCGTTCACTGGTGGATTAATGTCGTTAGTCCAATCACCCATGTGAT